TTTCACAACCTACACACTTGACTAAAATTTTTAACACTCTCATGACTAAATTAGCACCAGACGATCATCTTTTATTGTCAATGATGGTGTCAATGTGCTTTAATTATTTATAAAATCTGCTCTGCTATTAATCATTATTAGGTTTATCCATTAGAAAAATGTCAAGATATATCAAATACTGAGAGTTTTTACTGACTTTTAATTCAAAACTTATTTCATATATACTACAGGCCAAAAATTTGGGGAAAACTCTCTGGGTTTAGTAATTAATCAGTTTCATGCCTTTCATATTTTAATTAATTCCCCTTAACCTAGAAACTATTTAACCCATTACTATGGTTTTTAAAGGTGTGAGTGCCTCTCATTTCAAATCTGTGAGCCCTAAGATTTTCATTAGCCATCAAAGTAGATTAGGCAAAAAGAGATAAAGTTTTAAATGAAAACTTAAAATGGGTTAATTTCAGTATTATTATCATTATTGGACATATAACAAAATTTTTCAGAAAGATAAAGTCCCTCTGGTCCAAAGTGAGCTAGAAAATTAGTTTTAAAAAAAAATCATGCAATCTTCAATTTTTTCTTCAAGATCCAGAGATGTACACTATTAAACAAAAGTTGGGGAAACCCCAACATTTGGTTAATAGTGTACATATTCAGAATTCAAAACTTATTTAAAAAACAGAAATGTTGCTAGCTTATCACTACTCCATCTTTATTTCCATGCCAGATTTTCAGACATTCCTTAGTTTGAACACTTCAATTCCTTTACAGCTAGGACCCGCCATGCCATGCAGAGAGGATCAAATCATCCTCATTCCCTTCATATTCCAATGGTGAGAAGGAAGTTTTACTCAAACAGCTTCTTCCTGTGAACTACAAATATGTAGAACAAACTCTCAAGAGGATGCTTCCCCAATCAATACAATCTTAACTTCTTTAAACCTTCTCCTTTTACATACATACAACAACCTTATTCAGCAATCCTTGAACTAGTGTGGTACTTGTGACTTGTATTAGGTGAACATTTAGTATATATATATAAATATGGGTGCATGGCCAAGGGGTTTAAAACATTCACTTTCTGACCATGAGACCCAGGTCATTGTGACCGAGGCTTTGAGTGTGCTGGTATTGTTCAGATTGTTTATCATGCTAGATAACACTCTCTCCCAGAAACTGTAACTAAGTTTTGTTGAGCATAGTTGAAGTATAAACCACAGGTTGGCTCTGTGGGTGTTGAAGAAATACAAATGTGCCTGAGCGAACGTCTGCAATAGGGATTGGGTAGTCAACCTAGTAGATGGGTATCATTGAATACAAATGTCCAGTTATTATTATTATATAATATTGGCTAGGAAAAAGTCCCAGCATGCATTTGTGTGCTTCTGCCTATAATTTAGTGAGAGCTAAGTGTTTTGGAGTCAACAGTATATATATATATATATATATATATATATATATATATATATATGTGTGTGTGCAAATATGTAGAAAAATAGGAAAAACACGTTATGCAAATAATACAGGGTTCTTTAGTATTTTTGTTTTTATTTTTAAAAACAGTGCTCCATACAGAAGTAGAGCTTAAATTATAATCATTTTTTAAAAAATATGATTCTTTCACTACATAAGAGTTCTCATGTTTCAAAAACAAGAGCCAAAAACCTCAATTTAATTATTGAAATTAAATTGAATTAAAGTATCAAGCCCTGTTTCATCCTCGAGTGAAAATTTAGGAAAAACCGATCTTGAAATTTACATGTCTTTATTAGCATGTTCATTCATAAAATTAAGTACTATGGAAACAACAATTTTTGATAAGGGGCATATGAGTTAGTTTGTATCAAGATATCGGTCACTTTCAGAAAGAGGTCAAAAGAAAGAAAGAGGGCTGGGGTTTCCATTTCAAAGCAAATGATGGCAATTCATGTATACACATGATCTGGTCAGTCACAGTGACAGATAACTGTTGGCACCATAATACGTCTAACTCACCAGAGAATTTTATTTTATTTATTTATTTTTTTTATTTTTATTTCTAAAGGGCTGTTTTGTACATAAACACACCGCACTGAACTAAGATTTGTTTTTTTGATGACTTCAGAAAGGGTTTTTCTATCTTTTGATTGGGTTAAGCTTTTAAGCATTTTATTAGACTATGAAATTTAATTTCTTTTTCTATGCTAATAATTTAATGCGAAAATTTGTTGATGTTGGCAAAAAACCGTTAACTCATATGTATGGTTTAATAAATTTTCATTATTTAGAAACTTAATATGTAGACTTAATGAACAACATATACCTACCTGACAGAAAACCTAATGCTAACCCCTTGTAGGTACACCCGAAGTCAAACCACCCTCCATCTATAATTAAGCATATACCCACATCAATAGGAAAAAGAATCAGCAGGAACTCTGCTAATAAGGACATATTCCAACAACACAGTAATTTTATAACATAGCCCTAAAAAATAGCAGATACAAACATGCTAACATAAATTATAGAAACAATAACACTAACCAGAAGAAAAACAGGAGAAGAAAAATCATTTTATATACACCTCCGTTCAACCAAATGGTTAGTATCAAGCTAGGACATAAGTTCCTAGCTTTAACTGAAAAACAATTTCCTACTAATAGCAAACTTAGCGAGATCTTTAATAAAAACACCTTCTAATTAAGTTACAGTTGTACCGAAAATCTAGAAAGAATCATAAACTAAAGGTGACTGATATCTTGATACAAACTAACTTGTATGCCCCTTATCAAAAATTGTTGTTTCCATAGTACTTAATTTTATGAATGAACATGCTAATAAAGACATGTAAATTTCAAGATCGGTTTTTCCTAAATTTTCACTCGAGGATGAAACAGGGCTTGATACTTTAATTCAATTTAATTTCAATAATTAAATTGAGGTTTTTGGCTCTTGTTTTGAAACATGAGAACTCTTATGTAGTGAAAGAATCATATTTTTTAAAAAATGATTATAATTTAAGCTCTACTTCTGTATGGAGCACTGTTTTTAAAAATAAAAACAAAAATACTAAAGAACCCCAGATTATTTGCATAACATGTTCTTTCCTATTTTTCTACATATTTGCACACACACACATACATACATACATATATATATATATATATATATATATACACACACAATCTGTTGATTCCAAAACACTTGGCTCTCACTAATTTATAGGCAGAAGCACACAAATGCATGCTGGGACTTTTTCCCAGCCAATAAAATAGGGTGGTTCTTGGTTTCATCTGATTCAGCCCCAGTCTGTCTTGTCTTTACATTTGCTTGTCCAAACTTGCTCTTGTATGTCAGCCCCAATTCTTAGTTTGTTAACTTTTTGCTATATTACTGTTGCTTTGCCTTATTACTGTTAATTTTCCTTGCATATATTGTTTGCTTGCTTTGTATTATTTTTTGCCCTGTTCTTTTCTTTTTCTTGTTATTGTATAATTGGTTAATTCTGTTTGTTGGACAGTTCTGTTACTTATTTTTCATTTAACCCTGACTACTCACTCCACAGGTTGGTAGAACAGGAATTAGGAGAGCTGGTAAAAATGAAAATATTGTTAAGAGCTACAAAGGATAGGAAGTTGTGGAGAGGCTTGATCGGTCACATCTTGAAGATGAAGAAAATTAGACAAAGCTTTACCTATAGATATGATCAAAAGTTTTCAGCAAAAATGTATTTTTCATTTGTGTATTCAAGTTCTAAATTAATAAACAAACACTGGGAACTTTTGCACACACCTAATATTCGTCAATTATTTGCCAATTAATAGTAAGTTACTAACTGTTCATACCAGTCATAACTGGTTGCTTATACTAGAACTTAAATGACAGCAAATCTCCTTAATATTCCAGCCCTCTTAGTATTCTAGCTGGCTGTTTTTGATAATATTTCCCAAGTGCTTCGATAATGAGTTTCATAATTTCCCCATGATTTTTGATTTGTCTGTTTCACAGCAAATCAACCCCTTATGGGACATTTAATGACAAAATTTAATTTTCTTGGGTGCTTAGATGTAATAAAAAGTATTTATATAGGTTAATCTGCTTTCATAACTGAATACTTGAGAGATACTCAGCTTTTGTGCATGTACATGTCAGTGTGGACATAATTACTATAGGCAGTGATGTTCATTTTGTGTTTTGTTGAAGTTGTATTTTGGAATGCAGTTTTATTTTAAAAAATGTAGGAAGTTATATGAATTAATGTCATGAAAGATCTTTCATGTCAGTTTTTGGTAGTATTTTAAACGGATTTAGTTGAAGTTGCTACTATTTATTCATATGTGTGTATTGTTGGTAATTTTTTTTATACAAAAATGTATTGCTTGTATTTTTATAATTTCATGTTTTTTTTTGGTGGGGGCATTCACTATTTTCCTATAGCTGGGACCCTAACAGATGGACCTGGGAACAACAGCAATTAAGCAGGGATTCCATGCTTCACAAAGCCTCCAATCTCCCAATCAAAGGCCTTGCTGTTGAATGTATTTTATCATTATACTCAGGACTAACTAGGCACATACATCATGACCAAATGTGTGTGAGAGGTCAACAGGTTTTCAAACTTTTAAAGAAATAACTCAATACCCAACAACAATGCTTCTGGCCATTATTCCAGCCCCTAGGGGACATGCTTAACTTACTATGGTCAGGAAGCTGACACACAAATCTGTGGTACTGAACAGGATATTTACTATAGCCGATCAAAGATACCATGGCGTATCAACCCTCTGCAGGTTATTTAAAGCCAGAAAATATTTTTAGATTGTAGAATTTTTTTGTAGATAAGAATGATTTAATGATAGAAGTCTTACTAATTAATCCATAGCTGAGGAGAAGGAGTGGAGTCATACCTTTCACAAGGGTATTTGCGCATAAGTGAATATAACAAACCCAACTGGAATTGGAACTTGGCTCTCTGATTAACAATTCCAATTATTATCCATTACAACCTGTGCACATCTAAGCTTACAGCACTTGCTATTCCTAAGCAGTCACCCATCTAGGTACCGACTAAGCCCAACATTGCTTAACTTTGCAGATCATATGAGAACTGGTGTTTCAAAGTGATGTGTCTAATGATCAAAAAAGATTATTATTACTATTATATTATCTTCATTCACACGTTTTTTGGGGGTATTTTTAACCAGAGATCTTGCATTATGGATGTTCTCTAAGTTGCACATCTTCATTCAGAGATTACCTTACAAAGAATATTTGTAGTGCCAATGTTGACTTCTGAACCAATGGTATACTAGCTTTTATTCCAATCAATCTTCAAAGTCCAGGGTTATAGACTCCAGTGTCCCAATTGGGACAATAGTGACCTGAACATCCCAAATTCTGGCAATTTCAGATTGGAGGTTGGTATATTTCTTAATCTTGTCAATTTCTTTGACAATTATATTATGATTATGAGGGATGTTCACATTGATGAGCAGGCATTTTCTTGTTTCTTCGTCAATGATGGTGATATCTTGTTTGGTGGCCTCAAAGATATGGTCTGTTTGGATGTTGAAATCCCACAAGATTTTGACTGTCATTTATGCTCACCTGCTCTGACTTTTGGCACTATCATTTCTTATTGACTTCAAGTCCATACATCCTACATAGGCACCAATGCAGATTAGAGGTAAAAAATCTACAGATAATAAGCATTAAATTTCTCATCATTGGCTAGACTAATGGGAAGTGGATTTTATACACTACAGTTCAAAAGTTTGAAGCCACCCCCAGAATTAGCATTGAATGAACTTGACAGAAGAATGAAAAAAAAAAAAAAATGAAAAAAAATGGAATCAATTATTAAACTTATGCTTTGAGAAACCTTTGCTATGAATGCCAAATGTTTGTCCTGCAGTAATCAAAACTAAAGGAGGATATTTTAACATGAACAAAATTTAATCATAAAATGCTTTTTTTCTTTTTGTTATAAAATTTCTACTAAAAAAAAAATCATGTCTCACTTTATTTTAACCATGTATAATAATTTTCTCTTATTTAAAGTACAAAACTACTTTTCGAGCCAATTTAAAAATTTACCAAGGGTGGCCTCAAACTTTGAACTGTAGCATATATCAAGATGACAGCCTGGCAAATAGAAATTGAATTTTAAACAATGGCTTAGCATTGAAAATAGACATAGAGAGTAAAAATGACTTGCTTGTAATGTACTGAGTGTTAAAGAGTGGTAGAGAGAGAGAGAACAAGAGATAAAGAAAGAGAAAATTAGATTTATCTATTAGAATTAGTGAGGCAGACAGGGAGAGAGAGAGTGGGAAACAAATAAAATGGTTTGTAATACCTGATTTACTGTTGCAGACAGAGAAACAGAAAATGAGTTTTGTTTATTAAATTTAGTGTGGCAAACCAAGGCAGACAGAGAAATAAACAGACAGAGAAAATGAATTTCATATTTGCAAATAAAAGAAAGAAAAAAAAAGATAATGTGTTAGAAACTAACTGTTCCTCTTCACTACTTACAGAAAAACCATTTGTGGGCTGCAGAAGCGTTTAACTTATATGATTTGTTTGTAGAAGCACAGAATTAAAACAAACAAAAAGAAAACCTGATAAGACTGAATTAAAAAATAATGTATTCACTACAAAATACAAAAGACTATACATTACAATTTAGCAACAAAACTAGTTTGATATCGAAACAAAAATGGAGACACATTATTTTAGGTAACACACTGATATTACTTGTTTTGATTTGCTAGGATAGAGGCTGTTTTATTTGTATGGAGATACTAAGGCTCTTAGTTTAATATCTAATGGATACTACTCAACCTAACTAGTTATGAATCTTATAGAAAAAAAGGGTCCAAATTAGCAGAGTTTATTTTCAATTCAAAGCATAATGAGAAAATAACCTTTTCTATAGGATGCATTACTATCTTCTTTGCTACTGAGAAAAACACCTTAATGTTCTTTGAATGCAATCTGAAAAAATATCAACTGATAGAGCTGCTATGCATGTTGTTTTTATTTATTTAATATAAAAGCCATAATTATGGATAATCAAATATATTTCCAAAAATAGAAATAATTTATATTAAAAGGCTGAGAAATTAGATGTTGATGCCAAATAACAGAATTGGTTATGAAAAACAATCTTAAATATATATTGTTTTTTTTAATCATTTCACTCCAAGCAAGACAAGAAAGCTACTAAGATGCAAGGTGTTACCAGGTGTTAGAGAATATAAGGAAAAAATATTAAGAAGAGAGAGCAATAAAAGAACAAGTATTACAAAGACAGAAGATAATGGCTGATATTGCATTTAAATTTTTGAAGCTCAAATTTGACTGTGAAGCAAGAATCCAGAAGAGAGTTCCACAAGTGAGAAGTGAGAGAGAAACTATTAGCATAAAACTTATGGCTACATCTTGCCATTTCAACTTTAAAATAATGAGACCTAACCACCAATCTTGAACTATACTTAAATTCATAAAATCTAGGTACTATAGAGGAAAGTTCATCAGAACAATTACTTTTAGGATAATAAAGAAAAATCATTATCAATGTTTTTCATATTTAGTGAGTTAAAATTTTATGAATTTTCTAAAGTTTTCACCAAATTTGATTTTGAAAGTAGATATTTTTGATACAGCAACAAGAACCACAGGAAAAAAAAGCAAGAAAAATGTCAAATAAATTCTCAATGAAGTTTGGGCACTTTTGAAGATAGTTTACCAAAATTGTTACTTCAATATATTGATTAATATTAGTATTAATTAAATATCAAAATACACAAAAAGTGAGACAGATGTTTCTTCAGCTCTTCTTAGATATATTTTTTTTTAAATGATATATTTTAAACTAATTTTTGGCATGTAATTTTTTTAAAATTTTCCAACCCTGCATTCAGTGATGGAAAAATGCCAGAGAATGACATAAAAAAAAACAATAAAATGAAAACAGCACAACAAAAATGTTACATTAAAAAATGCAAGTTAACAGTGAAATTTCATTTCAATGTTTAAGAAATGTCAGTTATTTTTTCTCTTGCCATGTAAGCATTGATAGATTTTTGTTTTTTAATTTTAAATAAACTACTTACTTGTACATGTATTCTTTAAATTTTTAAATTTTATTCTATCTTTTTAATGTTTGTTTTGATACCTGATACTTGTTTTTTATAAGAACATAGAAAGTTTTAAGATTGCTTGGAGTATTTTTGATCCTCTTTTGTTTGTAAGGTTTCTCAAGGTAAAATTTCATGTCTGACTTTTTTTTGTTTGGTTATTACATATTTCAATCATGATTTATGAATCATTGGACTTAAGACAGATATATTGTTATAATTAAGAGGTGATAACTCTTCTGACAGAACAGTTTAACTGCAAAGAGATAGTTAATATGAAGCATAAACTATGAGGAAAATTGACTGTATTTATTATTGTATAAAAAGGGAAATTTTCTGTTGAAATTAATGGTGGCTTATGTTTTAAATGAATATAATATTTGGATAATTTTGTTTATCTTTCTATATTTCTGAGATGAGATATTGTAGCTATTTATGCTATTTACATTGTTTGGCTTATTGTTCTCATCATCATTATCATATTCACAACATTATAGCCATTGTACACTCTAGCCTTCTTCAGGTGTTATACATTGGAATTTTAAACCAAACCCTTTATTTTATCCACTGGGGTAGATTGTTCCCATTCCACATGCCATGCCTTTTCTGGATATCTCAGTTTCAGTTATTTCCCTTTAACATCTCAACTTTCCCAATTTTTGTTCACTTCTCCTGTGATCAGGTATGAAACTCAAAACTCTTTCAGTCAAGTCACTGGATTACATCAACCAACACTTTTATCAACTGGGTCATGTATATGGTGAATGAAATAAAGGGTCTGGTTCAAAATTCCAACATAAATCACCTGAGGAAGGCTGGAGCATACAATAGCTGAAACATTGTAAATATGACAATAAAGATGAGGACAATAGTCTGAACAATGTAAATAGTGTAAATTTTGTTTATATCAATAAAGTAATCACTATATAGAGCAGGCTCACTCTAAAACTGGTCAACCTTCATAAAAATCAGATTTTACCTAGCTAGAATGACCTGTTTACTTTTCATGAATGGCTGTCCTGAATATATGATGGTGGATACAGTTTTCAGAGAAAAAATCCTTATCTTTTCTCCCTTTTAAGCAGCCAAAGTTTACACTGGCTTTTATAATCACTAAAACAGATATATTTTTTTTACATGTAGGTTCACGTTGTACAAGACGTGGGGGTTACTCGAAGTAGAAGTTTAGAGTAAAAGGCACAATTTATTTGTATGTGTGGGAAAGATAATGATTAACCTTAGACTTGAACAGGTTAAGATTGAAGAGATTGGGGAAACATCCTCTTGGAAGTTGGTTCCACAGACCAGTGATTCATGGGAAGAAGCTGCTTGATTGGGATTTACTTTTCACCAATGGAATACAGAGAGATTGCAGTTCGTCTGAGCACTTTCAATGGAAGTAGCAACAGAGCATTAAGAAGCCTGCCACATCGCATCTGTGAGAGAAGTGTTTGCAAAGTGGAAAATAATTTGTCACCCACAAGGATGCCGAGATGCTTTTTTGACTATCAAGACTGAAATGTGAAGACTGGGCAGCTCCTGTCTAAATATGACAACAGTACTCTATTTTAGGTCTGTGTTTTATACTTTACATGCTTAGAAAAGTAAGGATCTATATTCTTCTTTTATGGGTTCAGACCTTTCACTATATGAATAATATGTAATATTAGTCCTCCTATATGAGAGTGAATTCATCACAGATGTAGAAGTGACCTGAAGCAACAGAAATGTTGTTCTTGAAAGATATATTGAAGAGGAATGGAGGAAAACAGACTATAACCTATCTAACAAGCTTGTGTAAATACTTGGCAGGCCACGAATTAGGATAGATAGCAAAAAGACAAACATTACTAACAGCTATAAAGGGCAGAGAATTGTGGAGAAGTAAAATCACCCATGACCTGAAGAGACATGGCATATAGAAGAAGAAGGAGGAGGAGGAGAATTCTTTTCAAAACAAATGGTGAACATAATA